GAGACGAGAGCACACATCTTTTAGTTGTCAGATTTCTGTGTATCAGCATGGATTAATTCCTTTTTTTTTCTCTAACACCGGTTTATAAATGTAGGAAGCTTCCAGTAAATGCATTGTGAGCTGTGAAATTCCCTCTTTTTTATTGTTGTTTTTTGGTTTCCTTTTGTGGCTTCCCCCCAAAAACAAATGCACAAATCTCAAATGTTTTTCCACAGAACATGAGATGGAATTATATGCAACATTACATAGCATGCTATGTATATGAATGACAGATTAATTTATGTTAAGGAGTGTTAACAACAACATCATTTGTCAGTTCAAGTAAATGACTCAAACCTTAGGTAGAGTCTTTACAAGTCACTTTCCTTGCCACTGCACTTTTAAAGTGGTAGCTGTTACATTCCCATCATCTTTGTTTCCATTAAAATTTAGGCATGTAGATTTAGTACAGGCACAGAGAAGCCTAAATAATCTTGTACTCACAGATGCTGAGTTGATTTCCTCCCCTCTTAGTTTAAGCTATTAAAACTGTATGGAACATACAGGTAAACTATTTTATCTTGAAATATAAATTAGTAAATGAATTTTCATCTGAGTGATTATTGTATCCTTATCAGTGGGAGGCTACACTGCAAACTGTAAGCAGTAACAAAAAGTATCTGTGGCACTTCCTCCTGATTTGCATTGAAGATTTAGCTCTGAGGTGTGTTTACAGTGAAAAGAAACCTCCTGTAACGGTGATGGAGCTTTTGTTCGCTTCTTTGTCAAGTCATTATTAATTTTTGTTCCTTTTTACTATAGTGCCTCTTGCAGAGGTCCTGCTTTTGTGGCCAAAAAATAATAAAAATCCCTATTAGTACCAGGATCCAGGATGTGTATGTGCAAGGTTTTCTTGCTATATACTGAAGCTATTAATGTATCTGTACTGGAGGAGATAGGCTGAATATACTCATTGATTCTCACTGCCTCAAGAAAACAAGACATTTCTGATAAATTAATGATAATACTCTGGCTAACTAACTAGATTTCTCAGAATTGAACTGATTTTGGCATCTGGGTTAAAAAAATAAGCTTCTTTCAGGTTCCTGGACATTCAATGATAGAAAACTGTTTTAGCAAATTGAAAAGTGAAACTGTGCATACATGGAAACATGCATGCAGTTACGTATGTAATTTTTTTATGTATATCAAGTGTTTTATTGGAGCCAAAATAAAGGTTCAATGCTTTTCAGAAAGTATTTGGGATTTATAATCAAATTGATTGGAAATATTTGATTTTAATAGAAGAAGATATTGCATTTTAATTATATTAAACAAAATATTTTTAAGAAGAGTGTTGAAATTTTTAAAATTTGAAATTAATTTTTAGGTTGACCTGCTCATGGAAGAAAATTCACTTTGAAAAGAATGCTTAAAAAAATCACCCACTCTGCTGATTCCAGATTTTATAGTAAGCCTCACAGTACAGCAGCATCATTAAATCATTTTTAAGTAGGGGTATTGTCAACCTTGTGTCAAAAAGTAGACAGGAAGTACAAATGTGAAAGTATCCTATTTGTAAATGTGAACATATTGTTTTGCATATGCAGGTCCAGATTTATTCCATTTAATTTTAGGCATTGACCTTAGAGATCTGCCTTGTCACCTTGAGTCCTTCTCCAGTTACACCCCAAAGGGCCTCCAGCGAGCAATTAAAAACTGAGAGCATTGTATCACTATCCTGCCTGTAGCCCAAGTCTGCTGTGTCCTAACTTGGCATCTTGACATCTTGCACAGCTTCACATTTTACTGTTGTAGGCACGTTGCACATCTGATACGTTCTCTGATCTTCTTTAATTTCTCCTGTCCATGAGCACAAACTTCCAAGGCAAAACCCAAGGAGCTTTAGGTATGAGTGGGACAGAAGCCTCATCTTCAAGAACTCTAGAACAGCTGAAGAGCATGGCTGGGCAAGTGAGATCATTGTGCCAGGGGAAAATACAGATAAGTGTTTGCAGCTCGATGTACTGGTTAGCTGGAGCACACAATGAAAATGAAAACTGGCTCAATGTTTGTTTAATAAAATTGAAGTAAGTGGTTGATTTTTCTGGCTGCTCTGCCAGTTTGATAAAATTGCTGTTTGAGCTCTACTAAGCCAGTTGTCCCCTGTGCTAGGCTTTGTAAGGGGTGCATGTGGTTATGCCTGCATGTGCTTCTCTCAGTCTGCAACAAGAGTCACAGCTGCCATTTGGTGGCATTACTGGAAATGCATAAACCCACCCATTACAATCCTGAGTAACATGCTGTAGTTAATGTGAATAGAGATATGTTAATAGTGGATATTTATACAGTTTCATTTGGGGTTGCAAGAAGCTGGAGATCAAAATTGTTTATCAGGAGCCTTCTAGCGGTGGTTATCTTAGTAAGGACAACGCCTTAAGGATCTATCCATGTACTCATAAGTCTATTTTTTGTAATTTCTGTGTAGTCTATGCCTGGAAAATATTATATTTAGAGTATATTTAGATGCTGTGAGTCATGGCTAGGCTTAACTTAGGCAAGCATGGTGTTGGAAACTGCAACGATAATGGTCGCCTTCTGCTAGAATTCTGTGCAGAGCAACAGCTCACCATCACAAATACTATCTTACAGCAGAAAAATAGTCTGAAGACAACCTGGGTGCACCCTAGATCTATGCTGTGAGTAGTAAAAACAGGAATCAACAGTTTTTGAATAGCAGTGATTGATACTACTGAATGGCTGTCTCATGAACAGACGCAACGTTACCCTGTGCAGTTGGCTAAAAGATCAACAGTGTAAATGGGAGTGTAGTCTGAAACAGATGTTTTTCCTTTTTTGGCTTACGAGGATCGTGTGGATGCTGCTGGTGATCCAAAAGGCTAGAAAAGAATCTCTTTTCCTGTGGAGCCTTCAGTTTTTGTTTGTTCTGGATAGTAAAGTGCAATGGTACAAACTCAGCTGGTGCCAGTGTCCCTTCTGTGTCCTTGGGCTGACTTCTAAGTTGGCTCGTCTCTGCTGGTGCCAGACACCACAGAGGATGGCAGCTGGGAGGACAGTGTAGTCGGAGAGGACAAGGGTGACACCAGATATGTATTTTCTTAGATGTGTAGACCCTTTTCTTTGAGACTTTTTATTTCTAGAGATGAAAGGTTAGGAAGTACACTATTTTTTTTCTGAAAGAAGCTGTTGCAGCTGTTGAATCCTCTATATCTTCCAGATTCAGATTTCTGTTTAACATGAATAGCCAGTAAATGAATGTAGTGATATTACATCACAGTAACAGCATGGATTGTTCATGATCTTTCACAGTCCCTTTCAACCCAAACCATTCTATGAGTCTACGATTGCATGAGTTGTCCAGATAACTTGGTTTTGGTGCACTCAGGCATTGCAAAAAAGCTAAAATTTGTAATGTTTTTGTATTCAGTGTACAGTGGGAGCAAAATACTTGATATACTTGTTTGTTTTGATGGGTGAGTAAAGAAGGTTCCTTAAAATTAGTGCTGAATGTTTATGAAATTTGAACATCTGTCATCTCAGGGTTTTTTGCTGTTAAAACCAGATGGGCATACAATTCCCTAAAGCAGCTTTGAGTAGAGTTCAGACAATGTGTAGCCAATTTATTACCTGTCTTCACAAACCTGATAGTTTTGGAATCTGGATTCAAATTTATTGTCTCAATCAAAACAACTCATTATTTTTGGGCTCTTTTCATTTTAGGTATGAAACTGTGTTTTGATTGCTTCTGATAATATTGCATGTTTTAATATGAATTTCAGATGTGTGAAGTACTGTGGTTTGTTAGGACAGGAGTTTGGATGCAGATATTGTGTGAATTGATAACTTATGATGCTAAAAGGTCCTTTTAAAACTTCTGTGAAAGAACTGTAAAAGTAACTCTTACCTGATAGCATAGAAGTGCTTGACTCTTCCTACCCTAAAAAAACCCAACACCAAACGCTGTTTTTTCTAATTAGAAATGCTCTTAGAATGGAAATCCTTGGTTTAGAGCATTTATCGCTAATGTATATAATATTTGTTGAAGAAATTTAGCATAAATAAAAGAGTAATTGAATACAGTGTAAATTACATGTATCAGGATACGTATATCAGGATATCATAGTATTATAATTTTCTTTTAAGTTTCCTTAATAGTATTTGAAATCCATATACAGTGTGATATTTACCATCTTAACTCACTGACTGTTCACTCAGTTTGCTAAGCTGCAGCTTACTGCATTAATGGCCTGTGGAGCCATTTAGAAGAGATGGTTGTATGTATTCCCATTTGGATTCTGATACACAGTTTTTGTTTGTTTGTTTGATGTATAGCCTTGTGATTTCCCTTCCATTTCAAGATCATCTTTTTCCAGTTGAGACTATTGTGCTGTTTATGGTTTACTGTACATAGACTGTTTTATGCACATTTGAGATTTCTGCTTAATTGAGAAAAGGGTGAGATAGCAAGGCAGGTTAAGCACTTTGACAGTCTTTCTATCTCTTTCATGACATTGGGAATGTCTAGTGGTACAGAAGTACTGGTGTAGTCAGTCAGGAAAGTGCTGCTAGCATGGATGAGGCTTTACTGGCAAAGCTGTATTTTAGTCAAGCCATACCCAATAGGATCAAAATGTGACCCAGGTTACAGTGCAGCCTTGTTGGTGTAATTGCTGCCTGCCACACCAGGAGCTTCCTAAAGTCCCATGAGGTCCAGCAGGGATTGCACCTATTTGTGCCCCTGGCATCCAACAAGACTCTGACGTAGACATTGTCTTGTCACTGGAACAGGCTCCCCAGGGAAGTGGTCACAGCGCCAAGCTTGATAGAGTTCAAGAACCATTTGGAAAATGCTCTCAAGCACATGATGTGATTTTTGGGGTGTCCTGTGCCAGGCCAGGAGTTGGACTTTGATGATCCTTGTGGGTCCTTTCCAACTCAGCATGTTCTGTGATTCTGTGCCTCCTAAGATCATTTTAAATTCTTTACTCTTTCTTTCATAGGGCTCCTCGATTTAAGGGATTCCAGCAGCAGGACAGCCAGGAGCTTCTGCACTATCTGTTGGACGCAATCAGGATTGAGGAGACAAAGGTAATGTCTCTGTATGTCTTTTAAAGAACTCAATTGACTTTATGGTAAACTACTAGTCATTGCTTCAATGTTCTTCATGTTCCCAATGTTTTAAAGTTGTAGTTAATGAAGTAAGAGTGGCTATTTTTGTTATCTTGAGAAAAATGATTACTTTTTTTGAAGGATGATTTAATTATGTTCATGGTGATTTGTTAAAATTGTTGATGGAATGGAAGTTTCAGTTAGCAGTAGAAAGGGTATGGTAAGTAGAACGTGATAACTTTAGGCATTTGAGTTTTTAGGAATCTGACTTGTTTGCCTTTATTTAAAAAAAAGAAAAGTATGAAAAAAAGGACATCTGAGGAGTCAAGAAAGTAAATATATAGGACCTCTGATTTAGCTGACAGAATTTTAAAGCTTTGGAACAAAAATTAGCAGCTCCTAGCTGTAGGCCTGCCCACAATTTTAACTGAAAATGGTGAAAAGAAAAAAAGAAAAATCTTGTGAAGTTTCTTGTATCTCTTGGAAGTGTGAAGAGCTCCTTGCTTTATAAATAAGGCACTGCTTTTCATTGCTTAAAATCTACATCTAAGTATGCTAAGTATAGAAGCAGTTTGTTGTATTGAAAATGTCCTTGTGTAAGTTTTGTTGTTTCTTTTCCTTCATTACTTGTGCCTCCTGTATTGTTGAAAGAAAGTGTGTGTTTGCTTGTTTGAACTGTCTTGGACCATATCAGATTTAATCTGCCTGATTTAGTCTTGGACCCTTCTTTTCAGATGATATTTTGGTAAATAGGCTTTTCTAAGCCTTCTCTGAGGGAAGGCCTTAAATCTCATACTGACCAGCATACTTCCTCTTCCTTCTCATTAGTAACCTGATGAATGTCATGATCCTGAGTTGAATTATCTCACAGATAAGATGTAAAGTTGTGTCTGAGCCCAGTTTTGGGCACTAGAGTAGAACTGAACAAATCCCCGTCCAACCAGAATACTAATATATATGGGCCAACCGCATCCTGGGGGGCATCAGGCAAAGCATCACCACCTGGTCAAGAGAGGGGATTGTCCTGCTCTGCTCTGCATTGGTGAGGCCTCACCTTGAATATTGTGTGCAGTTTTGGGTACCACAATATAAGAAAGATATTAAGCTTAATTAGAGAGTGTCCAAAGGAGAACAACGAAGATGGTGAAGGGCCTTGAGGGGAAGCCATGTGACGAGCGGCTGAGGTCACTTGGTCTGTTCAGCCTGGAGAAGATGAGACTGAGGGGAGACCTCATTGCAGTTACAACTTCCTCATGAGGCGAAGAGGAGGGGTAGGCACTGATCTTTTCTCTGTGGTGACCAGTGACAGGACCTGAAGGAATGGCTCAGGGGAGGTTTTGGTTGGATATTAGAAAAAGGTTCTTCACCCAGAGGGTGATTGGGTGCTGGAACAGGCTTCCCAGGGAAGTGGTTACAGCACAAAGCCTGACAGAGTTCAAGAAGTGTTTGGACAATACCCTTGGGCACATAGTGTGACTCTTGGGGGTGATCCTAAGGGTTGGACTCGATGATCCTTGTATGTCCCTTCCAACTCAGCATATTCTGTGATTTTGTGATTCTGTGGTCTTGTCAAGAGCATACTTGATCATAAACAGAACTGAACTGCAAGGAGAAACAATTAAACCTTGACACTGAAAAGTTTTGGAAAATTATGTCTTGAATAGGGCACACAACAGAAGCAGGTAATTTCAGTTAAAAAATACTTGTCATGTTTTTGCAGCAGAAAGAAACTTTTTCGTTTTATTTTTTGATTTTCATATAAATAAAAGTGGAAACTGTACTGACTTGACAAAAGAGGATTCACAGAAAGTAGGATTATTACAACAACCAAGCTTCTTCTCCAGTAGGTGCTTGTGTTTCCCCTCAAGTCAGTCTCCTGCTTCACCAGTTGACATGCCATCATTATGATAACCTACAGTCATATTTGCCTTTTGAATTTTGCCATTTATTATTAGAGAGCAGTGACAGCTACAGTAGCTACCTCAAAAGAGTGATGGAAGATGGTGAGAATTCATGGTGACCTTCTGGGCAGTATTTCTGCTGCCCCATTACCAGGCATGGAGAGGTGGGTCCCACTCTGCCCTGCAATTAAACTCCACAGCTGCCGTAATGATGCGTTACTGCAAGCACTCGGGTTGCTCTGCTACAGACAGTAATAGGAAAAGCTCTCTCCCCCTTTCTCTCTCTCTTTTTCTCTAAAGTATGCCGTGTTTCAGGTCTGTAGATGGCACAAAACCAGCAAATATAAAGCCCATGGTGAGCACTGCCCACCGTGCTGGCCTGACACAGGCAGGAGCCTGGCAGCTGCCCCTGTGGCCTGCCCACCACGTGGGCTCTGGCTGCAGCAACGGCTTACAGACACTGACCTTCCTCTTTCAAGCCTCTTTTAAACCTCATCCTTGGAAGAGGGAACAACCCTGCTGAAAGGTGATGACTGCTTTGCCATCCACCTGTGAGAGCTGAACTTGGCCATCCCTGCTTCCCTACCCCTACCAGGATTGTTTTTAAACCCTAAGCGTTTTGATGAGAAATACATATGATACATAACATGGCAGTAGTTATAGAACCTAACCAAAAATGACATTATACTTTTGCCTCTGCTGTGTGGTTTTGTGTCTTGTATCTGATACCAGTGCTGAACTTTTTCCGATCCCTGTGAAAAAAAGTTAGAAAGTGTGTATGTACACGAGTGGATTTTTAAGCTAAAAGCTTGGCAATACGACAATAAAGATGACATAGCGTCTGCCGTTTCCAGCAATGTGGGCTGGAGATGGTTTCACACCGGGGCCTGAAGTGGCTGAACCCTGCTGCTAATTGATTAATGTCTGCTGCCATTGTCCACAGCACCCTGCCCATTCAAAGACTATGTCTTTCTTTGACCTAAATAAATGGTTCAACGAGCTAATCCCAACAAAAGGGTTGCTTATGGCCCTAAACCCATTTATGGTGCTCAACTTCATGAATTACCTATTGATTAATCCTTTTAGTATATTGTTGGCTTTAAGATGAACAAAGCTGAGCTCGGGGCAGCGGGAGTTAATTCACAAGCCAGGTCACATACTCATAAGGTCGGAGTATGACTGGTCTGATGGGTGCCTGAACTGCAAACCAAACCTCCAAGCTGTCTGTCATCCTCACACTTTCCTAACATTGTGGCCTGAAAGTGTACTTTGCTGCCTGTAAACAAGAGCCATTTATTAATCCTTTCCTGTTAGGACACAGGGTTTGAGTTGCTTGCAGACAGTTTGGTATCACCATTTGTCTCTTAGAATGGTACTTTGCTCTAAGTGTGACTTCAGTGACACGTTTAATTATAAATATCATTTGCACACCAATGCAGGAGACTCACACATGTTCCTAGAGTTTGTGGATCGTATAGCCAGTACATTTGCCAGAAAAAGGGGAAGCACGGGTCATGCATGCTACAATGTTCCCCGTCAGGGGATCTAATTCATCCTCCTGCTTCCCTCTCTGCAGCATGTCAGATTGGGCTTTTTTACCAGCGCGTACTGTTCTGCTGCGAGGGTACACCTCACAGGAGTACAGCATCTCCTCACCCCAGGGCAGCTGAGAAAGAGCAGGGGCAAGTACCGCCTGTCTGGAGGGGCAGCTACAGCACATCACTTATGAAGTTGCTTCTTTCTGATCCTTCTTTCAAAAATGTAGTTTTTAGGATTTTTTTTGAGCAAATATTGATAACATTTATATGGATTCATTGGAAATTTTCTGTCTTTTGTAAGGTTTTCTAACATAACTCTGGAATGTGCAGTGTCAGAAAATAAAGAGAAGTATTGAAAATACTGTCCAAACACAGTCATTGAAGTCTGACTATTAAAAGATCTTTAGCTGCTTTCAAGTGTTTTGTGCCCTAGTCATCAGTAATAGTCTAGTCTTCCATATATTTTTTCTCTCCAGTGGTGGAAGAAATAGACAGTATTTGTTCACTGAAAATTCCGTGGTTTCTTGATAACCTATCAAGGGCCCTACAATGGTTCCCTTTTTCAGGGAAGGAAGTTTTTTGAATGGTTACCTACTAAAGTTGAACTCATGTAATTTTGACACTGTTAGTGAATAACAACAGTAATTTTACAACATGAAATTATGCTTATTTTATGCAAATAATAACAGATAATATCTAATAATATATGACTAGTTTTTAGAATGCTTACACTTAGAATACTTAATTTTTTTTTTACTTATAGCGTATACAAACTGGTATCTTAAAAGCATTTAATAACCCAACTACTAAGACGGCAGATGAAGAAACTAGAAGAAAAGTCAAAGGTATGCAACTCTTTATTGAAAACTTTTAAAAACGCACAAGTCTTTAAATACCGTTTTCTTCAGAACTGCTTATTGCAAACAGCAGTCCCGAAGTGCTGTAGTTACCAGACTTTAATTCTGTGTTACTTTAGTGCCGCCTAGTGTGTACCTAAAGTATAGACAGCTTAGTATGTGCTGACTTGCATCTTTGTATCCAGGATAAAGGCTTTCATGGTATTAATAATGCATCTTTTAATGATAGACAGAATTTAATTTTCTTTGCTAAAATAGCCTGCTTCATATTTGTTATACAGTCATAATTACTATGTCACTCAGAGAGGCCACTTCCCATAAACAAACTGATTTCTGTCACTTGACTGATACTTCAAGCGCTCTAAATACAACTACAAAGTAAAGAAGGGATGTTTTTGTTCAAAACGAGTTTTTAATCTTTCTGGGTGTGTGTTTGCTTATTCAATAGTTCTAATTTGGGGGACTTTTTTTTAATTAAAGTCTCAGTGATTAAGATGTTTTGCAAGTCACGCTTCCCAAATCTGCAAAAGATAAGGCATAGGTATTAGAACAGGCTTTTGTTTAATTTTTTAGAGTTTTATAGTTTAAAAAAACATTTAGAAAGGGTGACAACCTGTCTGCTACCCCAGTCTCTATATCAAGGCAATACAATAGTATGTATGCAAAGGGAAACAGATTTTATTTAAAAGGCTTCTTCTTGAGAGATACAGTTTTATTATTCTGTTACATTAGGTTGGGAAGGGAAGGATAAAAGGGAACCTTCTCACTACAATATTTTTAAATGTAGAGATAACTCAGTAAATGATGAATTAGTTATTGTATTGTGTTCTAAACATTTTGAATATGTTTAAAAGTTGTGCTTTCATAATATATCTTGGAAAGAATTTTTTTGTACTTATAGTGTGGCATTGGATCTGTTATTTTTCACATTTAAAAAAGGCAATGTTTTTTCAGCATATGGAAGAGAGGGTGTGAAGATGAACTTCATAGATAGGATCTTTGTTGGTGAATTGACTAGCACTGTCATGTGTGAGGAATGTGAAAATGTAGGTATTCTGGAATTTGGTTTGATGTGGAATAGATCACATACGGGTTTGATTATGTTGTCTTGGAAGTATAAAATTGTGTTGCCAATTTTATACTTGTTTGTTTGTTTGTAAAAACAAGACTTTATTGGAAGTTTTTCATTTGAAATGATTTATTCCTTCTTAAAAGCATTATCCTCCCAAACCTAAAAAGAGGGGTGCTTTGAATTGAAAAAGGATTCAAGTCCTGGGCTTGATTTTACATTTGACTTAAGGCTGGAGGTTCCAAATTCCATAGTCATATGTGCTATACCCCAATGTTACTTGATATTTTTAAAACACCTGCCTGTCTTAACACATAAATCCTCCTGCCTGCTCTTCTGGGATATACCTGAAAATTGGGAATTACTTAATTTGAATTAGTATGAGTGGGGAAATGCTAAAATTATTTCTTTTTCCTTGAAGTATATTTTATAATTAACATAATAACCCCAATGAACAGCATATTCCTTTCATAATTAATATTACTGACATTTCATCATAAATGCTTTCCATGATCCTTATAATTTTCTTTAAGTTTGAAAGAGAAAAATCTTCTTTGCATGACTTTTCTAATTGAATGTTATATTTGTGTTTGGTTTAAAACATTCTATTTCATATTATAGAGATTAAGTAAATTAATCAATCTGAAAAATTAAGCACAGTCCTGGAGTGCCAGGTAAACTTACCTGTGTGTGATATGCAGATTATACTTCAATGTGCTACTAGTATCAATGAAGAACTTTGACTATATAAAAAATAGAGGCTGTACGTATTTTGCATGTCTCATTTATATTTGCTGGATTCTTATATTCTGCCTGCACAGGACTTGGGAATTTGCTAGCTGTAGCTCTTTGAGGAAGAGTTTAGCATTCATTTTCCTTTGCCTGCACTGGCAAGATATTTTCAATTCATGTTTGTTCATGCAAACTGACACTTTAGAGGAACCCCTGTTTGAACGTTGCCCCTCAGGCAGTCAGTCTCCATAGTTGCAATGCTTTTGATCTTTAATTGCTTTACTGGAACCTAAACCACCCTGATTCTCTCACACAACAGGTAAAAATAAGCCTGCAAGTCCATATCAAATGTCACAGGTGGAAGACAGGGTCACAAATACAAGAGAAGGGACACAGTGACAGTAATTGAGGGCATGACTGTATTCATTGACTTAAATGTACAATATGATTTTTACTGGGTTTTTTTTAAGGTTTTGTTTTTCACAGTCTTTCCAGAGGTAAGATAAGTCAGTTTTGGAAGGATTGAGGACAGCGAGGGAGAGAGCTTAAGGAACTTAGTGATAAAGGCAGATGGAAAGTGATGGAAGAGATTGTCTTTAGGTATGCTTTGAAAGATATTTCCAGCTTATAGATGGCAAAATAAAACCGCAGTACAGAAAAGAAGGCTGATTATTTTTTTTTAATTCCCTTTTCCCAAGTAATTGGATCTATTTTAACAAAATCTAACAAAGCTTTTAGCTGTAACCAGTAATACTGACTTAATCTTAGCTGAGACATGAGGTTAGAATCTGTCACCTATCTGTCATTAACCAGTCCCTGCTGCGTAACAGTGTACGAGGTCAAACGCCTGTGCAGAAGAGTCCAGAATCAGGAAACTCTAAAAGGTAGCTTTCTGCAAAATTATACCACAAAGGCCCACATGACTTGAAAATCTGTCTGAAGCTCAGAGAAACTGAGCACCAAACTGTGTCTATGTCCAGTTCATGCCCAAGTGAATGGCCTTGCCCTTTGTGACTGTATGCTGAACCTTTGTGCAGTGTTAGAAAGAAAATCAAAGCTAATGTAAAAAAATTTTTAAAAAGTGGGAAGTTCTTCATTGTAGTTTGATATATCTTGTAACTAATTAACTTCTTGTATAGTTTCTGATAATAAACTGTTTAAATAAAGGGAGCTATGTACTAAACCTGTACAATGTTCTTTGTGTTTAAATGCATTTTCTCTTTTTCAAGATTTCAACAGTAAAAGAACCTTTCATTGATCTTTCACTTCCTATAATAGAGGAGAGGGTAAGAAACAGAATATGTAATAAGTAACTATTGCTTCTAGTGGATTGTTTCTACATACCTTTATGAAGATATTTATGTATTTACACAGAGTTTTGATTTCAAGCCTAAAAATGTAACCTTGTCCATAAATATGTGTACTGTCATACATCTGTTCATTATAGGATTTTCTTTGTATGAATAGACATACAATGTCTTAAGGGCATATATTTTTAAATTAGTCCAAACTTGGACCAAATGATCATAGTAATTTACAGAATATATAGGTCTGAGATTAGCTTAATTTACTAGAATATACTTCTATGAATAGAATGATTATAAACATTTTTTTGGAGGTTCAGCAAGTTAGATTCTCATCTGTTGGTTTGCACATAGACAACTGGAGTCTCTTGGGTTGGAGTTTACCTATAGGATGAGACACTGTAAAAATGGATATTGGAATATATTTATTCTGGTATTTTCAGCATTTCACAGAATACCTCCATTAGCTGTGGAGGAACTGTGTTCTTTTGAAGGCATATACTCTGGTTTTGCAGGACTTGGGGTTTTCGTTTGAGAAAGTGGGGGTGGGTTGGGAGTGGTTCTTTCGCCATCCCGCATATATTCATCTATATTTAAGGGAGAGTATTTAATGTAGTATTTATTCCTGTATAAAATGTATTCTTCTCCAAACACCAGTTTTGCTTGTAACAAATTCTCCATCTTTGTCAGTGCATTGAGTGCAGATGCCTGCAGGAGTTAAAGCTTTAAGAACGTTTCATATATCTGGGCTCTTGTGCTTCCTGGTTTCCATGTATAACACGGGAACTCTGTGGGCTTTCTTTGGGAGCCATTTCTGTGGGCATTTGGCAGTTGCTGCACTTACTTGAGGATGGGCATTACTTTATGGTTTTTGCTTTCCTCAACAGTTCAGACACACTGTTGCCAGTAATGTGATGGGGGGCGTGTGGCAGCTCCTTCACCATGGGATAAGGTGGTTGGCTACACCAGAGACTGACTTACGGGAGCTGTGTCACTTTTGATTACGTCACATCTCATACAGCTACGCATGTCCTTATAAAATAATAGATTATTTTGTATTGTATTATATACAGGAATTTTGTATCATTCCTATTCCTTCTGCCTTTCAGTTGATCCTTCAAAGACTTTGACAGTGAGTTTATGATAAAAAAATTTCGAAGGCTAGTTAATTGGTTTTATGTAGGTCACTATTTTCTAAAGTAAAGGAAAAAAACCCCCACCTACATTCATCTTTCTGTAGGTTGCAAAGGAATACAAAATTGACATAGTGCCTTTCCTAATTTCCTGTCTAATTTCTTAGGTTGCAAAACCTGTGCCTTTGGGAAGAACAGGTAAAGGTAAAAGTGTACAGGAGGCAGATCTTGGTCAGTATAACTGTTCTTCTATCAGTACACTGAATAATCAACCCAAAATTGTCAAGAAACACACTTTAACAAAAGATAAGGTAAGAACTTAAATATGCTAACCAGTCATCTTGAGTTTATTCTGAAGTTTCTAGGGCAACTGGGAATTTCTAGGGAATTTTGATACCTATTAATGGGGTTTTTTTTGTATATGTGTTGCTGACATAAACTTGTTTTAAAATATTTAGGTCATTATTAGAAGCATCAGAAATGACAGTCATTGGTAACCATTTAGTTTTCAGTTACAGGGTTTCCTTTGTTAGGAAAAGAAAATCTGCAAACTAGTTTCAATTCATGTTGATTTTGGGACTGTTGCAAGGGTCTGTGCCCGCTTGGGAACCATAAAAACTCTTCTGAATCAAGTCCTAACACATTAAATAGACGTGAAGAAAAAATACAACAGAATGACTATATAAAAGCATTATAAGGGAAGAAAATGAGACAGAAGTAAAAAAAGGACATGTGGTACAAACAAAGGACAGGGTGGAAAGAAGTAGTGCAGAAACTGATTGTTGTAGGAGAAAAGGCCTACAGCTCAAACTACTGAGGTGAATGGAAGGATTCCCACTAGCACCACTGGAATTTTGATCCAGTTGAAATAAAGGAAATAACAAAGGGGAAGGAAAGTTGCTAATTTCTGTTGGAAAGTAGCCAAACAAAAGAAGGAAAAAAAAGAATCATGAACACTTTTTATCTAAATCACTTTTTGTCTAAAGGAGTAGTTTTTTGTGGCAGCAACCCTTTTGTTTCTTCTTGCAATCTTGATTTAAAAAAAATCAACTTCAGGTAATATACAAATTAGCAAACATCCTACAAGGGATGCTTTAGTTAATTCTATGACAAGTGCCTACAAGGTGAGTTGAATTTTCTTCCGGAACCTCTCATCGACTAAGGCCTCTGATGGTAGGCCAGGGTACTAGCTTAAACCTGAGACCCTTTTTTAAATTAGAATAAGTGAATACCACTTCAAACATGCCATCCACAGCTGTCACAAAGTGAAAGTTATTAGTTGTGGGAAGTATTGATCTCACAGTAAGTATAATGCTCTTAGCTGACTGGGGTGTAGGTTTCTAATCCTAAATCAGTTTAAAAAGATCTTAGGAAAATTGACTAGCTTAAACATGTGAAAGATGGAGAATATAAAACAATATAAAACCCCAGTAATTTGCTTTGAATTTTTCATATTTCAAAAGGTATGTTAGATTACAAATCTATTTTCTGAATGCATTACTTTTATTACTGAAATAATAATGCCATAATTTACAGAACCAGTTGAACCATGAGAGACGTCTTGCCAGAAAAGCTTCCTTGAAGGAAGAAGAAAGAAGTCCTGTTATCATGCAGGAAAAAAACAAAAAGCTTGAGCTGGAAGGTAGCTCTGGCGTCCTGTACTCCAAAGACACAACTGCTGACTCAGCTGTCAATGGCAGTCAGACAGAGGGCAGTGAGAAGGAAGCCAGCCGCTCTGAAAGCAGCTTTGATGCCGACAGTGAAGCCTCAGAAAGCGAAAGTGCTTCTAAGCAAACAACTTTGAGCCCATCGAGCCACACATCTGGTTTGCACGTCAACCACATAAATGTTAAAATGCCACACAAAATGCCAAATGGCAGTAATGAAGAGGTGATTTCCAGTGCGATATCCAAACTTGGCTTCTGTGATCCAATAAATGAAGATAAAAAGTCAAGCCGTGGAGATCCAGCATTAGGTTTATCAAATAATTCTGTGTTCTCAGTAGATAAATCTTCACTATCCCAAACCCCTCAAAATGCTTTCCAGACGCTTTCCCAAAGCTACATAACTAGCTCAAAGGAATGTTCTGTTCAGTCCTGCCTTTACCAATTCACCTCTGTAGAGCTCTTAATGGGTAACAACAAGCTTTTATGTGAGAACTGCACAGAAAGGAAACAGAAGTATCAGAAGAAAACCAACTCCACAGGTAAAGTGCTTGTACCTCTCTGGACAATTTTCAGCATTTCCTCCCAAAACCTGTGCGCTGGCTGCTGTTCCATTGCTCCAGCATAGGCCTCTCCACATTGTGGCTAAATAGAAAATGTCTCCCCAAGCAGAACTTGCTTGTAACAACTCAAAACTTCATCAGGCAATGGCAACAAGACTAAATTTTGTATTAGAACATAATCATAGGTGTAATGTAAAATTTATTTTGCATCTTTATTCTATCCAAGATAGAGAATTTAAAGATGACCATAAACTGAACATGTGCATTGCCTCATACTGATCTTTACCGCTGTTTCTGTTCCTTAGAGTCCTCGAAGCTTTGAAATAAGTGCTGTAATATTCAGCCCCAGTAGCTTATATACTCAGGGAAGTAATGTTATTAAGTATGGAAAAGGGGCAAAAAAAGACACTTGTAATGAAGAGGGGAAAAAAACTTCCAAAGTTTGTAAGAATGGAGACGAGAGACAACTACCTTCTTGTGACAATGTGTTCCTTGATGTTTGTGTAGCACAAGCAGACCGTTAGAGTTTGCTGAGTAAGAAAAAACAATTTAATTATAAATAAACTTTTTCAAAAGACTGGAGGATTATTTTTTTTTATGTATAGACATTCAGAAGGGTAAAAAATTAAGCTCTTGTGATTACTTGTAAATAAAATATAAAGGGAGGTAACAAAAATTTGCCCCTCTGCTCTGCATTTATAGATACATGCAGAGATAAAAGTTAAGCATGAGTAAATTCAGAAAAATTAATCTAAACATTGTATTTTACAATCATTTCTTTATCATGATTGGACTCGGTTCCATGGGCACCACGAAAAATGGAAAAGGAACATCAATTTGCAATTAATCATTATTTATTTTTCCTTCTAAAACAAAAGATGTAAGAAGTCACTTCTACATTAAATGCTCCATTTTACCTCAAATGAAATATATTCCTTTGAACATGCATAAAACTGGTAAATTAATTAAACTTTTCAGCAAAAATAAATGCTGATAGCATGTTCCCTTTTACTGAGTAGCTAACCACTGAGCTACTTTTGGTAAGAGCCCTGTGTTCAGTGTCCTCTGCTCCATAGGGGGACCGGAGTCCACATATCCCAATCCTGTGTGCTCAAGCCAGCAGGTTATGAGGCATCCTGAGACAGACAGCCCTCCTCAGATCTTTCTCTTAAATATGTGTGAAGTATGTAGTCATTCATAAAGAGCTGAATAATAGAAAACTAAACTCTTAGTGATTAGGACATTAGCATAGATAGACACCCATGCCTTCCAGTTTTTGTCCAGGGATCATCCGTCTATTTCAGGTTTTAACAGAAAAGCTGGATGCTATAGTAACAGACAGTGTAGTTGTGCAAGCTGACCTAGATAGTGTACAGGCTTCCAACTTTTGATCTGATTTGCACAAGACTGGCTAAAATAATGCTCAGACTTGGAAGATTAAGGTTATTAATAACTAGAAAAATGAGAAAATATTTTTCTGTTACTCTACAAAATTTCCCTTGTCTTTTATATAACGAGTACAAAATCATTGCTACATAGATCTATTCTGTTAATGTTTAAAAAATACTTTAAAAATTCCATGTGTCTACCTTCACTTTACAAATTATTTTGATACTTATAAATACAGAAAAGAAAATGGAAGGTGTCTACACAAATGCTCGGAAACAGCTTCTGATTTCTTCAGTTCCTGCTATTCTTATTCTCCACCTGAAAAGATTCCACCAGGTAAGAGGCTAAAACCCTCTGGTACATTCCTCTGCCCCTGGTGGACAAGCAGTCCTTTAAGTGTTGTGCATAGTAATACTGGCTTTCTGTAAGGAGACCTCGTAGAACCACTGTTTGAAACATAGTGGTGTTTTTGTGATTGTTGTTACACCTCCAGGGAAACGTGTCCATCATGCTTATATATAGCAGTGTGGTGGGTTCAACACAAGCAGACACCATATTGAAAAGATAACAAAGAATGTTTAAATCAGTTACAGTCTTATTCTTGGATTTGGTTCATTTTAATAATAGAGTGCTACACCTTAGCTTTAAAAAGCTTCCTAGTAAAAATATGTATTTTACAGTTTTTTTTTTTCTTTTCCTTTGAAGGCTGGTTTGAGTCTACGGAAAGTAAACAGACATGTGGATTTCCCACTGATTTTAGATTTAGCACCATTTTGTGCTGCATCTTGCAAGGTACCCATTTCAAATCTTTATTTTTATTGTGCTTCAGGAGTTGTTGTCTGACCACAAGTAAAACTGGATTGATGATGATGATTCCTTCCTTTCCTAGAGCCATTATAGAGTGAATTTTTCACATAGTGTCTTGAGATCAAAATTGTAACTATTTGCAATTCCATTCATATCAAGAATATCACAGATGTTAACTAGTATTAGTTAAGCTATCGTGCTCTGATGGTGTTAGTGTATCTAACAGCATTAAGGACAAGTATTATTGCAAAATATAACAAAATTCAATTAATAAGATTACTGCATATTTGTAATAGATGTATTTCACCACTGGAAATGCTGTAGATGTCTGTTTTCTTCTTTTGAAGTAATACTGTTGATAGCTAGTTAAGATGCCTGTAAAATTCATTGTGAAATAACTGACCTTTGTTTTCTGTGTTTCTGGGAATGCAGAATGTTACGGATGGTGCAAGAGTGCTCTATAGTCTTTATGGAATAGTGGAGCACAGTGGGTCAATGAGAGGTGGTCACTACGCGGCGTACGTGAAAGTCAGGACATCCTCCAAGAAATTACTAGAGCATATTTCTACCACTAAAAATGTTTTGGGTATGTACAAACAGAGCCTCCTTTCCCTCTCTGTAAAACCAAAAGCAACCACTGTCCACAAGGATTTATAGCAAATAATTTTTTAGCTCAGACTATTCTGTGATTTTGAGATAAGTCATAGAAACCCCATCCCTGAAAGTGTTCAAGGCCAGCCTGAGTGGAGCTCTGAGCAACTTGGTCTAGTGGAAGGTGTCCCTGCCCTTGGCAGGAGTGTTGGAATTGGATGATCTTTAAGGTCCCTTCCAATCCAAACCAACCTATGATTCTATGAATTATTCTTTTTTTGTTGCACCCAGTACATAACCTACTTCTGCTATCAATTCCATAGAGAGCTGAGTGAATAATGGAATTTTGATTCAGTTATTAAACAGAGAATTTACAGAAAACTCTCCTCTCTTTCCTAGTAAAAAAAATATGCCCAGATGAATAGTTGTGCCTGGTAAAATGTAATTATTTGGCATATTTGGTATTTGAAAATATTTTAGTACAAGAATCAAATCTATGACATTAAATTAAATGAAATTTTCCAAATATTTGGGCTTTTTATGTATTTTAGGATTGGAAATTTTTTAATGCTTAAAATTCTGGAATCCTCTGGTTTACTGTGAACAGGAAGAAGCTTTTTCATGGAGGATACAAGGTTTGGTGTAGGGTTTCTATTGGTATTTTGAGAACAGCACACCAGTTCTTATTAATATTTTTTGGATATGCAGAATGAAATAAGATTTCAAGATAGAATCTGTTAGTGAAAGATTTGTTGGGGCAGGAATATGTTAAGCTGACCAAGTTAAGTAAATATATATTTCCGTTCTTGGGGAGGAGTGAGAACCAAGCATTATCCTGTGTATCCTGTGTGGTATCACTTTGCATTTGAAGCTCATTTCCTAGAAAGACAATCTTTTACATTATTTTTGAAACCAAAGTTTCCTTCAGTCTTATGCTTGTCTTGCAGTGATTATTGGAACAGATTAGATGTTTTTGTGTTCTTAATTTCACACTGGTCAGCTTTTGAAATAAAATGAATGCTTGGGGGTTAGAAGCTTCTCTTGCTATTTGAAATAATCCAGCATATGTGTTTGATGATGACGTGAAAGACAAGAAACAACTTCTTTTGCTTTTGCATTTCAGGTTTAAAAGAAGCCATGGGAGCATCAGGAGGACAGTGGGTGTATGTTAGTGATGCCCACGTTCAGATGGTTCCAGAATCGAGAGTACTCAGTGCACAAGCATATCTACTTTTTTATGAAAGATTATTACTATAATTCTTAACAATTTAATTTCAAAGATGGTAGTGGGTACTTAGTTTATCTTATTTAAAGCTGCAGTGGTAAGGACACCTGTAAATATTGTGCCTTTATCTTGTAGAGAATTTATCATCTGTTGGCTCTGAAGTTTAGTCAAGCTATTATAAATATCTAAATGGTTCTCCTAAAGTAAGCACCTTGCCAAACATTTAAAATTCCTGAGTTCATTAAAATACAGTACCATTAGAATGTAAGATTATGTCCTATCCTACTAGGTCTAGGGAAAGTTTGGTTTTGATTATGAAAAAGATAAGCTTTCACCCATAGTTCTGGAACAGCTGAGAATAGAAATGCTGATAGTGTTAAGTGCCTGGATTTGCTGGTGTACAGTAACAATACAAAGTATTTCAACTTTCTGTGATCTAGTCCAGATCCTTCCCATCACTGGGTCGGATGTCAGCTTGTTAAGATTTCTGCAAACAAGAACCTGTCAAATCATGTCTCTTCTGTGTTTAGTAATTGGAAAGCAGTGTCCTTCCAGAATGGAGTAACAACAGCTGTCTGGGTAATACTTCAGTGAACTTTCCAGATAAGACCTGGGAATAGATTATGAAAACGTGGCTTCTACAAAGTGACAGTGAATCTTCAGATACCTAGTACCCTTTCAGCTGTCTCCAACTGGCACTGGTATAGCAATGTACTCCTGTTTCAATATAAATATATACTTGGTGTGCATATGTATATCCTCTGAGATATATACACACGCCAAAATCCATCACTATATATTCTCATTCTACCTAGTAGGAAAGTGATTTGCAAATACTTCTGTATTTAGTAATTTTTCAACTTCATAATTATGACAATGCACAGCATATAAGCTTGTATATGTACAGAGTTTAAGCATAACTTGGTAAATTCTGTCACTTTTGGTTCCAAACATGAATTTGTTTATCTGTTCCTGAATACTTTTCTCACAGGAGGAATAAACTATAAATTCTTTTTGCACTGTGTGTGTGAGTTGGACAGTAAATTATGACTTTTGCTCTCTGGACTTCCTTTTGTCAGCTGTGGGGGACAGCAGGTGTCCTAGTGGCAACTGTTTTTTGTAGAGTCCTGTATTGTCCTGGTTTGAGTTGTTACTTCTTTTGGTAATTTCTCATTTCCGTCCCAGTGAGTAATAGATGCATTTTAAGGTAAAGAACGGATGACTACTGTGAAGTTATGTGGTAATTAACTTATTTAATAAGCACTTACTTAAATACTAATTACTTCTGTAACATTTCCATTCTGTCTGACTTGCTCTTTGGTAGAGAAAAAAAAATGTTTATTTCTGCTTACTGTTTTCATTTATGGAAATGTGGGGGTTTTTGTGGGTGAGTTTGGGGTTTTTTTGTGGGGAAAAAAAACCACAAAAAACCCCATGCCATCCATATTACTATCTCTGCCACGTGTTGTCATACCTATCTGCCTGACTCTCCTGTTCTCTAGTTCTGTTTCAGAGGTTCATCCCACCTGCATTCACTCTTTTGCATAAGAAAATGGCACAATCTGCAATAGCTGCATTTGCTCAAACTGCTGAGGTATATTTTACAGTCACATTACCTGCACATTCCTGTGCAGGCACTAAGGATTGTTAGGCCATACAACTGATTGTCATAACAGAGTGAGCCCCCAGTTGCACAGGATTTTATTTTCCAAAGGAAAACTCCTCTGTTTAGATCAAAATTAGGCTATGCATTTTGGCTGAAATGATAATTTTTTTCCTTCCACAAATTAAAATTGTTTCAGTCCACACAAAAGTAATAAAACTCAGAGAAACCAAGCAGTCAGCTTTAGCCATCTGTATTCCTAACCACATCTTAACCTGCACCTGCACTAAGTAAGTAAGAAAGAAAGAAAGAAAGAAAAATAATGTTTAGAGTTGGTTCAAGTACCTTAATTCTCTTTTAGGTCCTTATCTTCCCATACCCTGCATCTACCTATACACACCTTCCTCCTCGTTGTATGTAACTGATTGAAACTCAGAATTAGTTCTCGGTAACAGTCATAGTAACTAGCAACTAAGTTTCACTTCTGTGACATAATCTTGCTAGGGGAACACAGATGAGTTTATTTCCTCCACCTTAAAGCAGACTGAGCATTCCTCGTTTTTCTGACTTGCGTAAAACTACTGAACGTAAGTAACTGTATTAATCTCCCACTTTTTAGCCTAGATCTACCTCCCTAGACCGCAAAACTAGGAGAGAAACAGAACAAGGTTCTTGACCTGTTACTTCTTATTTTTAATGCTATTTTCAGGAAATTCTTGAGGTGGTCTTCACTTCTTTTTAACTGGAGTTTACAAACTGTTTGGGCAGCTGAAATTTTCCTAGACATACTGACTAGTATGCCATAAAAGATGCTGGCAGGATTATCTCATTAACAGCCAGGGAACGTTTCCTTGTATTAAGGTATTTTATAGAACATGGAAAGAAAGTGGCATGAAAAAACCCAACGCCTTTATCCAAGATAGCCGTCACTGTTGCTCCTGAATGAAGCTTTTTGAGTTGAAATATTAGCAGGAACTCTAGTAAGCACAGAGTCAGGAACAGGTATGAAAATATTATAGATGTAAATATTCTCTAAAAATGAGGGCAAAGGTGAAGTCATGCTTTCAAAATGAAAAAATTACAACTAATGCAAGATGTCGTATAGGATTTTAGATGCAAGTCACAGTGTCCTTTAAAATATAGGTTTGGGCGTGTGTGTGGGTGTGTGTGTACGTAAAATTTGGCTCCAAAGCAACTGATTGTACATAAATGTGTATACTGAAGACTTGCTATAGTTCCTTATCAGGAACTGCAAGAGAAGCTCATAGCATTCTGGGAAAACAGGGGTGTACATCCTTTGTGTGCTAGAATTCTGTAGTCTAGGAACTTGCAGTTTCCTGCAACTGCCAGCTGTGTACATGCTATTGAAAAGCTACATGTTTTCAGAATTTAAGTGAAGGGCTTGAAAGTTTAAGCCTACTTAAAATATCTTATTTTACCAACCAAAAATATTTTTAGGCCTACAGTCTCTACTCTTTACAGAGCTACACCATACTTTTGTGGCCCCCCACCCCAAGAAAGTGCAGTAGCCTGCATCTTCACGTGGAATAGCTTCCAAATGGCTTTCTCTTTGTACTACCCTTCTCTTCTCACAAGGGCACCGATGTTTTCTTCATCAGCCTCATCTGTTCTTTTTGTTTTCAGGGTCTCCATAAGCCTCTGTGTCAATGTTTTTCCTTTCATTGATCCTCAACCATTATATAGTGGTTCCCAGTCCCATCTCTTGTTTTGTGTGAACTCACAAAGCTCTTACAGGAAGAGTTACTGTAGCTGAAATCTGGCCTGTCCCTACCACCACACTGGCTCTACCTACAGACTGCAGTACAGGTAATTGAGAAAAGCTGTGAGTCCTGAGCAACTCTCTGCTGACCAGTCACAAGACAGCGCCTTTAAAACAATGAGGAAGAATGCAAATTAAGTATTTCCTCACTCCTCAGTAAGTAAACCTCATTTATGGGAAGTACTTGATTTGCATATGGGCAATTGGACCCCCCTACAAAAGTTTATCCAAAACAGAGGCACCAACAAAGTCCACTGCATCAACTAAGGAGTTAGTACAGATTATAAGTCTTTTTTCCTCAGAAAGAACTTTGTTATCTTTGGATTTATACATAATTTATGCCAAATGTGGCAAAACGTGATGGGAAATTTTATTATATTAACCCACCTACACCGGTACATGTACAGACATCATGTTTGCATAAGTCTATTCTCCTAAGAGAGGGCTACAAATAGTGGTGAAGGAAAACCAAACAAACCCTGAACTTTGCTGCCCAAAATGTACACACCGTAATTGCCTTTGTTTAGAAAATGAAATCCACGCAGTCTGCCAAACCTTCCTCCCTTTCCCCATCTGCACCCTCTGTGTGTATCAATGAAGTGCTCTTGCTTATGGATTTCGAGTGGTAGCAGGTGAGAGTGGTTTATAAATTCATTAAAAGGCTGAAATGTCTTAACTTCACCATTTGCTTCTCTTTAGACTTCTTTTTTATAGCAACACAAACTGAATCATAAAGGGACATGAAATTAATTCATCTACATTCTCAACCCACTATAAAAATCTTATTTGAACATATTGGTAACAAACTAAGATTTGGAAAGGAATATTTTCTTGAGGAGAAACTAAGATGTATTAAAATGGGAACAAAGCATTTGAATACAACTCTTCTGTTAGGAAAAATTAACAAATCCAATTTTAATGAAAATAGCACACCGGAGAAAAGAGCTTTACGGCAGCCCTGATTAAACAAAGATCTGATATTCCTCAGTTTTCAACAGCTGGACACTCTTTTGCTGTACCCTGTACACATTTTTGCATCTGTACAAAGGTTTACATATCCATGTGAAAGAAATGCCACTGATTTTCTGTAGAACCATTTCATTCTAATTATTTTAGAATGGATTATTGTTTCTTCTGTATCTATTTACCATGTCTTAGGCTGTCATTTTGCCAGCTGTTCTACCTGTTTGTACCTTTCCTGTTGGTGTATAAACAAACTGCAGAAATGGTGGGAAAGTGATTATTCAAAATTATTCATAATCTATTTTTTTGTAAAGGGAGATTATAAAATGTATTTTCAGATGGATGTCTATTAGTGCAAGTCAAAGCACTTCCCTTGCACGAGATTATATAAATCTATATAAATTATATAAAAAGTCTAAGTGAATTTTTATGTTACAACATTTGCAATACATTGCAACTACTTCAAAGCTACTTGATATACATTTCACTTATATAAAGTTATAAATACTTTTGTCTTCATGGATAGCAGTAGAAAAACTAACTTTTTAAGTGTCAAGAATGTTTCTTACATCTATGGCAGTTTCCAGTATTTTTCTAGTGCTGCTTCTAAAAGAAAACAGAAAACCACTTGTTTTGAGTAGGTTTACGACTTCTTAACAATTGCCTCATTTCTTTGCTAGCTTAGGGGGTTTTTTGGTTTTCAGCTGTGTAACCTAGGGATCATTGCAGTGAACTCTGTAATGAAACCACCATGTCAATGGCTGCCATTCCCCATTTAGCCATTCCACAAAGTTGAGTTCTGATTCTACTGTCATTTATGCATAGGGATAATCCCTGATATGTTCATGTGTGGCTGTACTTATACAAAAGACAATCCAATTAATCAAAAAAAACTGTTGCTAAGTCCAAAATACTTGTGAGCAATAAATCAAGTATGTTAAAAGTTTCATTTTCTTTTCATTCATTTCCTTTTTTTCATATGTTTGAACCAATAGTCTGTCTCTTCTCTGCAGGTATTTAAGGAACAAGTAGTATTTTTAGAATTCTACTACAGTACTGATACATGATGCATTTTTTATGTAGATTTCTAATTCCAAATATTACTAAGTAAACAGGGTCTTACAGACTGTATTTAAAAAACAAACACAAATCTGATCAGTTTTCCGGTCTATCCGAGGTGCTTTAACAAGTTTCTCAGAGTAAAGCTGCCATTTGTCATCTATTAATTTTGTCTTTTTGTCTGTTATATAGTATTTGACAAACATGTGAATAAAACATCCAGCCATTTGGAAAATTACATTGTTTATAAGCTGTTTGTTGTACAACTGAGTTCACATATTTTTTCCTTTCATCTTGTATGACGACATCACTGCCCATGGAAGAGCTCCCTAGAGATGATTCCGTATCCTTGAATACTTAAGCTACCTGGCTTGTTTCCCCTGCCTTGCCATCTGTGGCACAGGGCACAGATTAAGACACAGTTTGTTCCCTTTACAAGAACTGAGTTCTGTAATTCTGTGGTAAGACCAGGACCAAGAGTGGGGCTCCCTCACATCCCCAGTTTCAGTAGCGGCTGAAAGCTTGCCCATCCATAAGCACCACTCCACGGTTCCAGCTGGAACCTGGAACTTGGTTCCCTGTTGTGTCAGTCATCACTGGACCCACTTAAAACCTCTGCAACACTCCTGTCCATGGAAAGCCTTCTCGATCCTACCATTCCTTGCGACACAAAAAGGGAAAAGTCCAGAACACTTCAAATAACAGTAACATGTAGCATAAGTGGCACCGACAAATCTTACAGTGAAATCAGTACAAAAGTTTCTTGAAGCTTTTGATTTTTTATAGATTTATAGAGGATAACTTACTCTGTTACTCCATGTGGGTGTTAATGTTTACTTTTTGCAATGATCAGAGAGATTGTGGATGTTTTAGGCATTTACATCCATGACGCTAAAGAAAGGGAAGGCAGTGATCGCAGCAGTAAGTAATGTGCCGGCTAATGAAAATCCCTGTCCCACAAACGAATGCAACCACTCAGTCCTTGCCTACGGGATCACCCCCAGTGTCCATAGAAGAAGAGCTTTGCCGTTTGCCACGGGTGATTTTGGTGTATCTTTAACCATTAAACTAGGAAAATTTCAAGGTAGATCTCACGATAACTTAAAAGTTAATGTGGATATTGAGAATAAACTACTTAGGACAACAGTCCTGCTTCACGAACGCTCCATATACGCATACACTGACCTGACTTGGCATGCTGACACTCTGCAGCTGTGCAACACTGAAGTTACTTGTGTATTTCAATGTAGGATCCTTGCCCTGAGTCTGTCCGTTTATACCACTTATGTCTTCGTACACCGTCTTTTTGTACCTCTTCATGTCGACTCCACCCTCCGCACTGGAAACACTGGAAACTCTCTGACCACCAGTTAGACCACCTGCGGAGGCCACGGAGCTGATGAGCTTCCCACAGGTCTCCCCACATTAGCGCAGCCGGGGAGGTGAATCCTCCCCACGGCTCCCAGGCAGGAGCGTCCCCGCCTTCCCGCCCCGCCTCGGCTGCCATGGAGAGCCGCCAGCGGCAGCGACCGCCGGCGCTGCCCGAACTAAAGATGGCGGCGGGGCAGCTCTGCCCTACCCGCCGGGGGAAGGGAAAAGAGAAGAACCACCCTACTGCCCGCGAGCCCTCAGCAAAGATGGCGGGACAGGCGTCCATGTATGGCAGGCGAGGGTCAGCACCGTTACACGCTTCACTTCCGGGTGCGCGGCAGCGGGCGCCATATTGTCTTGTCCGTGAAGACGAGGAGCGAGACCGAGGGTAGCGCGGCCGCGGAGCGGCGGCACCGGCGGCGGGAGGCAAGGGAGAGCGTAAGTAGCGGGTCAGGCTGTGCTCGCCAGCGCTCCCGGGGGGCAGGCGGGTGTCGCTGACCCGATCTTCCCCCTTCGCTCCTCCTCCGAGCCGCGCCGGGAGGGCGCCGCGCGCCGCGGCGGCGGCAGCCGCTCGCCAGGCGTGAGGAACAGGCAGCACTGCCAGCGGGAACCGGCGGCCTGGACGAGAAGGGACGATCCTAGAGTCGCTCGCCCTCCCCCGCCGCCCCCCGGGGGGGGCGGCGCGCTGCGCATGCGCGGCGGGAGGGCCGATGGGACCCCCCCCCCCGGGATCCCCCCGAGATCCCCCCGGGATCCTCGTGCTGTGCCCCCCCCGCCACGGGGTCCCGGTGGGCACGGGCCGCCGCCCGCACTGCGCATGCCCCGGGGCCGCCCCGGCACGGGGCACCGGGAGAGGCCAGAGTGGAGCGCGCGGCCCGCGGGGACAGGAATTCCGGTAGTCTGGGATGCTGGGAGCGCGCACCCGGCCCGGCCGTGCCGGAGGAGCCGCCGGGTGCGCGGGGGAGAGTGTCCGCTTGTTTTAGCCGATAACCCAGTTAGGGAAGCAACATGTGCACCGGGATTCGGTAGTTGGCTGTGTCAGCAGCTTGGCTCCTGCGGATGAAATGTATTTGCAGGATATTTGTGCTGTTTCATGCGTTTCATGGCCGTTCCTGAGTTCGTTCCACTGGAGGGCTCCAGAGAACTAAAATTACCAATATCCTCACACGCAGCAGCAATTTTAAGATACCTGGACCTGGTTCAGTAGCTTGGCAAATGGATCCTCAGACAGACCACGGGATTGGAAGACTTTTTGGTTTCAGCACTTCCCCACGCAGGTTTTCTGTACTTCTTTAGACAATCCCACAGAGTTGTTGAAGTGAAGTTTGATGGGATGTGCTAGGCTTTAAGTTAAGGATGGAACCACAAAAATGGTCAGAGGGCTGGAATCCCTCTCCTATGAAGACAGGTGATGAGAATTGGGATTATTCAGTCTGGAGAAGTGAAGGCTCCAGGGATACCTTACTGTGGCCTTTCAGTACCTAAAGGGGCTGAATAAGAAAAATGGGGAAAGACTTGTTACCAGGGCACAGGACAAGGGTCAACAGTTTTAAACTGAAATATAGCTTTAGACTGGATATAAGGAAGAAATATTATAAGAGTGGTGAGAGAGTGGAACAGGTTTTCCAAAGAAGCTATGTGCCCCATGATTGGAAATGTTTAAGATCAGGTAGAATAGAGCTTTCAGCAGCCTCGTTTCCTGCAAGATGTTGGACTAGATGGTCTTTGAAGGTCCCTTGCAACGCAGACCATTGGATGATTCTATGATGTGCTACCCCAGCTGAAATTTACCAGGTTTCTGTAACAAATTACAGAGTATTCATCCACCTTGGTTGTTGTTCATTTCTTCTCTTAGGCTTATACCTGTAAATCTTTTCAAGCAAACAACTTTATTCGAAGGTGTGGGATACAGTGGTAAGTGTTGCCCTAAAGGATTTGTTTTAAGGCAAAGGGTCAGCTACCTTTCAAAGGTGGGTGAATGGTGGTCTTCAAGGCATAAGGCATGTCTGCATAAGGCAGACAGTGTTCAAACATCATTTTACCAAGACAGGGTTACAATACCAGTCCAGCCAAACTGTTGTACTGTTGGTAGGAGTAAGAAACCCCTTTTGAATTTTGAGGTCAAGCTGCACTAAAGGTGGTGCCTCTTGTGGGGGTTATAAATGCTGCAGCTCCCCTGACTGTGGAACAGAGGAGGAACTGAGGGCCTCAGATTTGTCCAGGGACAAGTTGGTGCGATAACTGACCATTCAGTGACAAATCAGAAGACAAGCCTCCTGAGTTCTAAATTGTTTGGTACAGCAGCAAGCCTTGTGTCATCTCTGCTATTATGTCATTACAAGACTTCCTGTATTGTCCTTATCTCATAGGACATGCAAACTCCTGCTCTGATAAGAGTGGTTTCTCCTATTTTGGCAGGGTTTAGGAATCCACAAATTTAGCACAGTTCTGCAATTTTTGGGGGATTAACTCACCTTATAAGCTGTAGTGGTAGAGTGGAGTCATAGCCATGTTTAATTTTTAGTTAGATGCAGGATTATGTAAAGATACTATGGAGACAGGAGTGCCCAGTCTCACTTCGTTTCATGACTGAGGTATATTGTGATCGTAAATCTGCCTTTGGTGATGCGTAATACTGTGGGTAGGTGCTATTAAGCATTTTTAGTTTCATCACTAGCTGGTCCTTCATTAAGTGACAAGTATATTTATCACTGGGGGCAATACCTGCTCATAACCAGCGAGGAATAGTTGTTTGCTTGCTTAGTTATTGGTACTATACGTTTTTTGTGCAGAGCATGTTGATCAAGGAGGAAGTTGCAGATGGACAGTTCACTTCGGGGGAAAAAATAACGCTATGTTACATGGCTAATTGAAAATCTAGCATCAGGATTTCCAGCGGAATGATACATGAAAAAAATGAGATCAAGACTTCTTTTTTTTTTTTCCCCCAAACTCAATAGATCCTTGACTTAAACTAAAGAAGTTATTATGATGTTTCTGTGGTAGTAAATATTCTAGCAGTGGGTTTGGTGCTTTATGATAATCAAAACGTGTTTGTCCTTACGTCTTTGATATACAAAAAATAAGGAAATTTTACCTGATTTGCCAATATCTGGTCCTTTTGTTCTTTTTAAAGAGTTGGCTTCAGCTCAGTGGATATGTGGATTTAAGTTTGAAATAACAGACCTTGGAAGCTATACTGTTTGAGTGACTCACTGAAGAAGATTTCATAGTACTTTTTTTTTTTCCTTTTTTTTTTTTTTTTAATTTGGCCCTTGTTCAGCCTACTTCATCTTGGTAGCACTGTAAATATTAGTCAGATGTGCTGACACGTGAACCAGGTTCTGGAAAACTTCATAGATACCGAACCAGCTGTTTTCATCAGTTGTTTTTCTTGTTCTGTATTTTGGATCTTGGTTACACATCTGGAAAGCCTCTATTCTTCAATCTGAGAAAGAACAGTTCTGATGTTAAAAAATGCAGTGGAGTAACTGAAGTTGACTTCCACCATTTTAGTGATACACAGCTGTAAATGGGCTGGAAGAATTTTACATGATTTTTGACTGGATGTCTTGCTACAGATGCCAGCAGGCACATTGGTGTAGCTTCTGGTCCTCAGGAGAAGAAAAGATGGGCATTAAATGCCTGAAACAATATTGGGTGGTGCTGTAGATGATGTATAGAAGTCTTTGCCAAAAAAGTGTGATGGGTGAAACAGAGTAGCAGGAAAGACAGTTACTTTAACTTTTTCTGATTTATTGCAGACTTAACTCAGGCCATAAATATTTAATTTCCCAATCAGTAACTGAGTATAATATAGTAGTAAATATTAACTCTCCCAAATAAAATGGAAACTGGTTTTGTCTGAGTGATGGCATGCAGTTGTTCTGACTCTGAATATGTCTCTGCAGCCCCTCTATAGTAACTTCTAGGGTTTGTTCCTATCCAACTGCATAGAATGCAGTGCTTTTCCACACTCCCAGATCTTTTCAACTTCAGAGGTGTTCTGAATTACCTGGGTCTCCCATGTCAAGACCTCCAGATGATAATTCTTGTGACACCCTTTCTGCATTAAATTATTCTTTATGGAAGGGGTGCTCCTTTTGGTATGTGAGGCCATTTTTCCTTTGCAGTTCTCTCTTCAACCACATCTGTTATGTATGGATTCTTACAGAAAAGTATCCTTTATTCCAGTGACACAGTCATGGAAGAAGTGCTGAATTTACATTTCCTTCCAGTTTGGAGTACATTGAGATAGATGTTCTTGGAGTTCGTACAACATGTGTCCTTTATTGTTTTCAGATTCCATCTCAGTTAAATATTGATAATACCATGGATGAGCTGCTCTATGTTGCATGTTTGGGAGAAACGTGAACTGTTGGTGTATCCCTAGAATATTTATTGAGGTCCTTCCAACTTCATCAGTGATGTCTGTGCTGTCATGACCCTTTTGAAGCAATAGCATAGTGGCAGGAAGGGGAGGGGGAAACATCCCCCAGACAACACTTGAGCTTGAAGTCATGGAGGTACTGGTCTGATTCCTGTCTTTTTATTAACTGCTTTGCTCCAGGTGTTGTGAAGGTATGATTTGATTTATCCTGTTTGCAACTGAACCGTTCCACAAAATTCATCATGGAAGTTCATCATAAGCCTTCAGTCACTGTGCTAAAACTCCACAGAGTCAGTAACAACTATCTTGAATGAAAGGAAAAGGTCTTACATTAGAATAAGGTGCTCACGTGAAAGATCTGTGGGTTCCAAGGAGCTCTGCTTCTGAGACGTTTCCGTTTTCCTTTAAATCCATGTCCACAGACTATGCTTTTGAGATCCTTCTCGAGGTGTGATGTGGATGACTTCTGCAGTCCAGGAATTCTACAAAGAGCATCAAGTAGAGACTGATGTGCCTTTGCTGCTTGTGTTGTCTTAAGCTCACACCAAGAGATTACCTAGCTAATGAAGCTGATTATTTAATATTAATTTGTTTCCAAACCAGTACTTGCAGTTTATGACAAATCAGGACTCCTATCCCTTGAGGTCTTTCCCTTCAACTATTCTGTAAACCTGAATATAGTCAAAAAGTCATGGCTGCACTGGCAGGTTATCTTAGAGGAGATGGGACATCTGCTTATTTGTTTTGTTTTTGGTTTTTTTTACCTGGATATCTGACCTATGAATGGAGTATCAAAAAGGAGTGTGTTGTCTTTAAACCCTGGGGTGCCAAGACTAGCTATGTAGGGGTTCTCAAGTGTGCAGTGTGCCCTGGAGTTTCAGCTTCTTTGTTTATTTAGATAATGAATACTTCTTTGCTAAAGTGCAATGGCTGTTTGGAATGCCTGCAAGACAAGATCTTTAGTCATTAGAAAAACCTCTGCAGCCATGTATTGGAGCTCAGTTTACAAGTAAAACTTGTTAGGCCATCTTGTGTCATATATTGACCT